CCCCCCTACTGTTAAATGAAATTTACGCCCATGAGTAAATCACGATGTTGGCGTTGCTGCAAGGGCTAGTCATTTAAGCGCACATGAGAACCGTTTCGCAGGGATCGATGTCACGTGTTATTTTTTTTTTCTTCCGAATATTCGAATCTCAAAATGAAAACTCGAATGCCATCCCTCCAAACGAATATTCGAATAGTCGAATATTCTGGTCCAGCACTAGGAGAGATATGTGCAAACTTAAAAAAAGCAGATATAAAGAAATAGACCTATACTGGTTGGGACATCGAGGACAAGATTTCTTTGTTCCTATTACAGTATCACACTACTCCCAGCTGCACAACAGGACAGGCACCAGTAGAAGCTTGTACAGACATGTTCATACCAGGCTGGATTTGCGTAAACCTAGTTCAGCAGAGGGTGTACGATAGAAACAATATCTACAAAAGAACTATCATGATCGCCATAGATCTTTTGTGGCAGATCATCTGGTCTATCTTCAGAACAGGACAGGAAGTGGACCATGATGGATTCCAGGAGTAGTGACACAAAAGACTGGTCCAGTGTCCTACAAAGTCCGGGACATCAATGCTGACGTTGTTCACAGGCGTCACAGTGACCAGCTAAGACGTCGTTTTGGCAAAAGTGCACTTGAGGAACCTGCAGTTTCAAATACAGACAGTTTGAATAAAGGACAGCAATCTGTAAATGAGGACATACAAAAATCATGTACCTTGGCTAAACCAGATGATTCTGGGAGTTCATAACAGATTGTGTTGAGACAATCTCAGAGGATTATTAAGCCACCTGCACGTTTTGAGCCAGATTAATTATTGATTGTTACAGTACAGTACTTCCAAGGTGGGTTGTTATTTGATACCAGGAATACACAGTTTATAGTGTTATAAAAAAAAAAAAATGTTAGATGGTTTAAAATGCCACATTCTCAATAGTCACTTGTAATCTCAGTGTGGAGGAAATGTGATGTATTGAGTTTATGTTAATAGTTTTGTTAATGCTGCAAGCGGTATGTCCTAATGGTGTTGCTGTAGCACAGGGGTGGCCAATCTTATCCACAAAGGGCCGGTGTGTATGCAGGTTTTAGGGATAACCTGTAGGTCAGCTGTTCAAACCCAGGTGTGAGGACCCTTTAGCCAATCAGTCCTCTAATTAGTAATCTAATTAGGGAGTTGCAGCGAAAACCCGCATACACACCGGCCCTTTGCGGATAAGATTGGCTACCCCTGCTGTAGCAGATGCACTAGTGCATGCGCAACCTGTTTAATAGAAGAGACGTTTAAAAGAAAATGGCCAGCATGGTTTCACAGTAAAGACGTAAAGTGAAATTGTGTCTCCGAATAATCCTGCCCAGTACATCACAGTACTGGAAAGATATCATGGTGCCATATTTTTGAATGTTGTTCGGTCTTATGTTTTTTTAGTACAGGTACTAATTAGACTATTAAAAATATGGCTAATGCTAACCATCGAATCAGAATCATGGACACAATATGTCTGAACCACTGCTGAAACTGAATTATACCCTATGTCGGAATTGCAAGCATCATGCTACAATATGTAGAATGCTAAAATGTTAGCTAGTTAAATATGATCTCTCTAGCTTCAAGGTTTTGGAACATGTCCGAGCCTAAGACACGAGTTTAACAAGCTTAACAGGGTCATGCTAATCAGTGGTGCAAAACTTCTGATTGTTTTACAGGAGAGAATGATTTGTGCCAATCTGTTTGCTTCAGCTACACTTCTTTGCTGCTGGGGGTTTGTGCGTATGCATGATCAGGAGTGCTCATAAATATATGTATATTATTTTATACCCTTCTATGTGTAAAAATGTGTGCATGCACGGTTAATAAACATGATCCCAGGTGCAGCTCCTTTCCAAGCTTTTATTAATATTTTGTGACTTTTAACTGCTTTTTAACACCTACAAAAGAAATTTGTCTGAAGGCAGTAAGGTTGAACTGTTCCACAGGTAGGTCGTCTCAGCAGGCCTCCATCCAGCAGACCAGCAGAGAGCCAGGACTGCTAACGGACTTCAGAATAGCAGGGCCTTGTTCTCACAGATCCACCGGTTAAACATGTCATTATCCTTTGTTTGCCAGCTGTTCAGGGTTATTTGGTCTGTATTTATTAAAACATAGTTTTGGCTTCCTTCGTCTGCCCAGAACCTAGAAATAAAGGTTGAGATTTAAATTCAATACAAAAACTGTATAAATGCCCCTGGGTGTTTACAACATGAGTTTCTCAGAAACATTTGATATGTGACAGAAATTTTAAAAACTTGGAAGTCATCTTGGAGTTTACAAAACTGTGCTCAATCACATTAAATCCTTAAATATCAAAAGCAAAAAGGATGTTTGTACGTAGTCCCTACATAATCGTTTTTGTACTGATTATTTGATAGTTTAGAAGATACTGTTGAACTGAATTGGGGCAATCTCTCACACTGCAGTGGTTCTAGTTCTCACCCTGTGGTCATTGAAGAGCCGTTGACCCAGACCCAGTTGTTTGCTTGTCTAGTCAATCCGATCCAGTAACCGTGCCATTTGTCAAAGTATGCAGGTGCAAGGTTCACGATGAACATCTAAATGGACACAATGAAGCTAATTATACCCACACTGCAAGTAGATACAGACTCAGCAAACCTGCTTTCAAGAACAGTAGGAGCAGGGCTTAAATATTCATAAATTCAAAAATTCCCAAGTTTTGGGAATTGATTTAGAAATGATTTCCTTATAAAATCAAAGTATACATGCATGGGTAGCGAATATGCAAACACTCATAAGTGCATTGGATTTAGATTAGAAAGACAGTAGTTTTCATGTGTACATCTTTGTGGGTAGCTATACAATAGGCAAAAAGTTCTGAAATGCATTGAAGAGTACTGTTACACACCACAGGAACATGATTTAGTTTGTTGGAATGTTGTACCTGTTCCTCCTTGTCTTGTATTGTTAGCAGATCAGCCCCCATTTTGAAGCATTCAATACGACTATCTTGCCACGTTTTCCATGTTTGATCAAGGTACAGGAAGTAACACTTTGAATTGTTGAATGTCCATCCAGTTGGGCAGCGTGAGCATGTTGTCCCTTCACAGGAGATAGCCGGAGTAATATTACATATTAATAGCTTTCAGGTCACCCATTCATCTATCTTCCATGACCAATTATCCAACATAGGGCTGTAGCTCCAGTTTATCACTGGGCATACACTAATGCACTATAGATAAGTTGATTCCATTTCACTTAATCACATGTTTTTGAAGGTTACCGGAGGTGTGTGGCTCTGCAGGTTAGGACTCTTGCCTGTGATCAGTAGTTCAAATCCTGCTCTTGTCAGTGATTTCATCATTGTGTGCTTCAGTGAGGTCCTTAACCCCAGTTGCTCCAGAAACCCTGTCTGACCCTCACTTATAAGTTGCTTTGGACAAAAGTAACATGTGTGCACACTGTTGTGAATTGAGATGTTAAGTCACAGACTGTTATGGTGTGGCATGGTGCAGGTGGGAAAAAGAAGGTGATGATCCACTTAGCGGCTGACGAGACAAGGGATTTGCTAATTAACAGCAACAACAAAGGGAAAACCACTAAAATAAGGGACCACAGGAGGTCAGAATTAAATGGCAAAATAACAATGAACAGGGAACCATAAGTCAACAGGGAAACCAAGCAACAAAGGGAGCAGGAACTACAAAAACCAAGCGGCGAGACAACATACACTAACATGGGCAATGACCAGCTAGGGAAATGAACAGTCAGGTACTTAAATACATTGATAACAAGGACTAAGGGCAGGTGTGAATCATCAAAAACAACCAATCAACAAGGGCACTGGACAACAAGACACAGGTGAAGCAATTAACACTAATGAACACAGAACTAAGGAACTAGAGACCTAAAACCAATGAAACACGGGGAAATACTACACTAGGAAAATAAACAAGAAAACAAAGTACAACATAAAACTGGAACAGAACAAGAAAGGTAAATCTAGAACAGGAAACTTAAAACACTGGAGAGCAGAAACAAAGAAAGATATAAGGCTGATCATTAATCAGTCCAATGACTGGGGAATGCAATCCCTAAGCCACACACTCAACCCATTGTGGCAGGCCAGGTAATAGGGACTAAGGAACTAGAGACCTGAAACTAAGGAAACACAGGGAAACATTACACTAGGAAAATAAACAAGAAAACAAAGTACAACATACAACCGGAACAGAACAAGGAAGGCAAATCTAGAACAGGAAACATAAAACACTGGAGAGCAAAAACGATTAGCCAGCCTCAATCAAATGACTGGGGAATGCAATCCCTAAGCCACACATTCAACCCATTGTGGCAGGCCAGGGAATAGGGAGAGCACACTGGGGCTGAATGGACAAGAGAAAGGTAGGAGAACTGGATGGCCAGCAACACCTGCTGGCCAGATGGGGAAGGAGACACGAAAGGCAGGGTTAGACAGGCACTGACCCTGACAACAGACATTCCCTACTTATTGGGGAAAACACAACATGAAATAAACCAGAACTTGGAAGGCCAGCACTCACCATTTGGGCAATATTTTTCCACAGGAAAATTACGGAACTGTAAAATCTCATCCAGCAAAGTCTGGTTCTTTTGCAGTTTTTTGTTCTCACTCTCCAAGAATTCATTCTGAGCAGTGAGATTGCTTTTAAGCACTTGTAGCTGCTGATTGTTTTCCAGAAGGGCACTGTTGTTTTCCATAAGGGCACTATTGGCTCCCATAAGGGCAATGTTGTTTTCCATAAGGGCACTGTTGTTATCCATAAGGGCACTGATGTCCTTTTTGAGCTGCCCTGCAGCACTCTGGGAAAGATTATCTGCAGAAAGACACAACCATGCTGAATAGACCTTCCGTGACCATGTATTGAGGTGAATGAGCTAAAATCTGCTTTGATGTATCACAAAGGAATTCAGAAACAGCGGAGTCAATCCATTAATATAGAGCACAATCTGATTCAGGAGCATGTAGTACTTACAGTAGACAAAGACAGCAATGATGCCAGCCAGTAATAAAGCACAGGTAAGGCTGAGAAATACTATAGCCCACTTCTGGGGCTGATGTCTGTGCTCAGGTTTCTCTGGAGCCTGTGCAGGGGACGAAGTTTCCTGACCAATTGTTCTGGAATCTGCATTAATGTGTGACAATATAATATTGTAAAGTGTTTGTACCAAAAGTAAAGCAAGGTGTCAGTCATTACAGGCTAAGCTAAACAGAGCTACAGTACGCATGTATGCAATGTAGTAATCCTATACACAATGCATCAACTGTGTACACAAACCAAATACAAAGCGTAAAATCATAGATAGAATCATTAAAATGGTCTTTAAACTGAAACAAAAATAGGCACCGTAAGCAGTTAACTAACCAATCTACTACAACCATCACACAAATGATAATAAAATGGAAATACATTATTTTCTGGAAATTCTCTGTACTACTCCCTATGGAGCCTATGTGCGGGTAATTTTCTGTTTGTGAACTTTACAGGAAAACCAATGACAGGCTGATATGACTCATATGGCCCATACTGGAGTGCTCTCTCTGGATCAGGGCAGGGATCTCTTTCCTCGGGTTTCGCTGGGGAGGTCACAAATGCTACATTATTTACTGATGCTTCTCTTTATGCAGATAAATAAATGTGGAAAAAACTGTAAATATATTTATGATAAAGTATTATTATACATTGATATGACTAACACAAGCCACTTTACAATATGATTTAATTTAATATGTTGATGTAGCAAGTTTATCTCATCAGTAGAGGATTCAACTGTACTCTTGGTGAAATTGCCTAATTATTCTACATCACTGTTTCTCAACTGGTAGATTATTATAATTATTTAAATCAAATAATGACACAAAACTCTCAATAATCAAATCTTTCTACAAACAGAGGATCCTCAGTGGTTGTAAGCATGCAATTTTCAGTCTATCCAGAATGATCTACAGGGCCAACCCACGGTATTTTTTCTGTGTTCGTAATTTAGCTTTTAATTCTCAGTAGGAAAGTAGTGCAGGTTTCACTGGACATTTATGATGCATTTTTGGTGCATTCTGTATTACTGCAAAGTTACGGAAGAGGATTAGGGCCACCATGAAAATATTATTTGAATTCTGACTTTTTTCTCAGAATTCTTACTTTAATGTCGGAATTCTGACTTTTTTTTCTAAACTCAGAATTCTCAGAATAATATTTTCATGGTGGCCCTAATCCTCTTCCGTAGCAAAGTAGTGTTGTTTTCGTCCACGGAATTTTTGACAAAATATCTTCGTCAACGAACCTTTTTGACGTGACGGAGACGAGGCGCAACGTAAATGCTGGTCATGTGACGATAACTGTAACGAAATATATCATGTAAAATTGTTGACAAAAACGAGACTAAATTTGGTTTACAAAATAAAAACTATACTAAAATGTCTCTTCATTTTCTTTGACGAAAACGAGACGAGACGTTATTTCCTCTCGTTTAGTCGCGTTATTATTATTATGCAGTATTTCTGTTTCCTGTGTCTCCCATTCGGGCACACAGATGGCGGAGAAATGCGGCCACAAAATATCGTGAACAAACACCACAAACCTTAAAACCTTAAAAGACATCTCAAGGCATTCCACAATAACACTGAGGTAAGTAAAGACATTAACGTAACGTTACTTTCTATTTTAGAAAGCTCATGCCAACTTAACATGTTATCGTTAGCAATAGATGTTAGCCTGCTAGCTTTAGACGTTTTGGAGAAAATTATATTTCATAAGCATAGACACTTGGCGATCTGTACAAAACATCCTTTCTGATAAGATGTCTGATAAGAATACGTGGGTAAAGAGAACATTTTGAAGCTATGTAGGCATTTTAGCAAGCTAAAGCTAAGTAGCAAACAGAACAACAGCTCAGTTGTCTTGAATCCTGGTGATCTAAACTTTCAAGCTTTCATTACTGCGTGACTAGATATATGTCGAAAGGGGTAGTGTTTGAAACATTGAAAGAGCGTTTTTCGGAACATTGTGGGTCTGGCTTGCCAGGCTATTTACCATCCACGTAGAGGTAGGCTCTGGCTACAGCTCATGTAAATACCTGCTAATTGTGAAATAATGTTCTTGTGGAAAGGATGTTCGTGAATGATTCAGAGCATGATGCATTTTGATTGGCATCCTTTATGGTCTTGTGAGGCCTATTTTTTTCTGTTAAACAATTGTAGCTGAAAATAAACAGCCAAATTACAACCAATAGTTTCAGTCATTGAGGGCAAAATAGGCCTAATAGCAAGGATTTATGCTACTTTAATATTTACAACAGTTAGATTTTCCAGAGGCTGCATCTGTCCTGACATTGTATCTGTTCCTGTGCTAGATTCCAGAAACAGCTTCAGTGAAGCAAGTCCTGCGCAAGAAGATGGACATTATTTTATTTATTTATTTTATTTAAATGTGTGTGTACTTCTAAGTTCAAACGTGTTTGGTTGGCAAAATAAATGTTATAAATTCAAATCAGAGCGTCTTCCGTATCTGGAATGGATGTAGAGTATTCTTGAGTCTATAAGGTAACAATGATATAATAATAAGAACCTTGTTTTAATTGTGAAATGCGTTTTCACAATTAAAGAAAATTTTGTTTTTGTCTATTCTACTAGGTACTTGTACTATATTGACTAGGTAAAATAGAATTGCATTACTAAAATAAAGAGACTAAAATACAAAAATTATTAAAATACAAAACTAGACTAAAATGTCATCAGTTTTTGTTGACTAAAACTAGACTAAAATAGTCATGGATAATTCTGACTAAAATATGACTAAAATGCTCAGACTTTTAGTCGACTGAAACTTGACTAGACTAAAATGAGTATGGACATGACTAAGACTAATAATAACTAAAATGACAGCTTGACGCAAAGACTAGACTAAAACTAAAATTAAGACAGGCCGCCAAAAACAACTATACTGCAAAGCTACACTGGACATCGAGAAGTTCATCCCAGTTGATTCATGCCCCCTTTAATTTATACCCCGTTATACCTTCTGTTATACCCCCTGTTATACCTCCTGTTATACCCCCTTTAATTTATACCCCCTGGTCAGTGGCAAATTCCTGGGCTGCTTTTTGTTGCTAGTCCGCCGCTGGCAAAGCTTGTAACTTACCATCTGGTGCAGGGAATGACTTCTCTGGAGCTAGTTCTGCTTTCTTAACTTGTGCATATAGGATTTCTTCATTCTTTTTGACTAATAATGTAAAATTGAAATAAAAAAGTAAAAGTATTTATATATGGTAATATTGAAAATGCATACACAACAGGGTTGCAATACCCTTTGTAAGTTGAACAATCAGTAATTTGCCATAGTGTAGACAGTTTGACATGTATTACAGATATGAATGCATGTTGCATGTTTTGTGGAAAATGCAATTATAAAATTCATACAGTTACAAAATAATTAAAGATTGTGAAAAACTGAAATAAAAGATATTATTCCACAACTTTTTACAGAACCCGCAAAGTCCAAATTTTTTTTATTTTTTTGTTTTGTGCACACAAGCTAATTATAACGTAATACGTACAATATAATATCTTTCACACACAAGATTAACAAATATTTTTTTTGGGACTTCACGGGCTCCATGATTTATGATGATTAAAAGATTTCAGTAGAAAGTAAAGCCATTTAATCCACTAATTCTGAGAAGATTTTGGACTGTCTCTGAAATTAATTTTTCCCAATTGTGTAATTTAAATGTTAAATTTCAACATTTACATTGCATTTACTTTATAGAGCAGATGCTTTTGTGACAAGTAGTCAGATGCTGTGTGTGACAGAGGTTTTTTTTGTGCTTTAATCAAAAAGATGTAATGATGCCATAAAGAACATTAAACATTTTCAGACATGAATGTGGAATCAGCTTAGATAAGCTTGACATATTTGTGACCCTGACAGGCAAAGCAAAGAAAATTAAATTTTATGTAAAGGAGACGATACTGGACTCACCTGTAGCCAAGGAATTTTTGGATGTGGTGAAAACCACAGTGGAATAGCAGAGCTCTTCAGACATGTCAGGTATCGCTGACTGACTCTCACATGAGCAGATTTGGTCAGACACTGGCTGGACTAGAGGTTGCTGTCAAAAATATCCCTAAAAAGTCTGAAAAGGGAAGTTTCACTTGACATCTTATTCATTCATTTATATTCTGCTTGATTTTATTTCTCATGTTCTGAAATCGATCCAGTCAGCCTGAAAACTTCCCTTTATCTGCTCAGTTTACAATAGAACTTCCTTAAATGATGTCACAATGGGGGAAGTGCATTTGTCAAAATGTTTTACCTAAAGAAAATCTGCCAAAAAGAGACAATAACATGATGTGGGCTAAACTTCCATAAGTGATGTAAAGATAAATAACTAAAGATAAGTAACTGTTCATTTCTTAACACAAGAATACTCAAGCCCTGTAGGTTGCTTATGCATTATATTGCAGTTATGTGTCTGAATTAATGGGTTGGGGAGCTCTGAGTTTGTGGGGTTTGCATCTTCTCGCTTTTTCCACGTGGGGTTCTTTCTACGGTCTGAAGACATTGCATGGCATTAGATACATCCCATTCAATGATGCAAGCAGAAATGTGAAAAATATTAGTAATTTATAGTTTAAAGAGTCTTAGTGAAGTGCTGCCCCCCCTGAATCTGCCAGGATATCCACCCCCTCTGGTACCCTGTTAATAGTGTTTTCAGAGTGTTAGTGCACCATGGATACCAATTTTTTGTACTGTATGTTACATTAATGTCACATACTACTAGTACAACTAAGAATACTAAAGTTGCCATGAGCAAAGGGCATGGTAGCACAGCAGGTAACGCTGTGGCTTTACACCTTAGAGGTCATGGTTTCAAGGCTGAACAGTGCTTTCACAGTATACATACTGTATATAGCACTTTTTTAAAATTCATATTTTATTTTAAAACCATATTTTTCAACATTAATTGCATTAAAACTCAGGAAATAATGTTATTGTGCTGATTTTGACAGAACCTTTGTTAAAATGTAAAAAGTGGAAATAACGTTACATTATCATTACAGTAAGAATGTTCTCCTCCAACTTTGAGAAGACCCTGATATAACAGCGGCTATAGTTCTGGGAGCGTTCCCTGTTAGCTGGGTATTGTGATGGAAATTACCGTCAGTGAGATGTTCGATCTGTGTCTGGTAAGAGAAATTTGCTTTCAAGTTATTTTTATGTCTACATTTACTCACAAGACGCTTGCCTGCTTGCACTTGTCTCTGCAAGGCAAGTAACTATTAGTTTTGGGTCTTGGGGGTAAGACAGAGTGCAGCAAAAACACAAAAGCATATGAAATAGTTGAACCTAATGATAACACCCTAGAAGAACCAAATGAATATATCTAATAATACAATGCATATACTGTGTAATGCAAATTAAATGTAATTGCAATATACAGTCGACCCATCTGCTGGGCGTGACACTAAGTACATTAGGGTCGGCTTTTAACATTTAAATCTTTTTCTTAATATCCCATACTAGGTTCTGTTGATGTGTTTCTGTTATGTTCATGCTTTGTTGAATTTTGGTTTCCTTTCCAAATATGTTTCCAAATAGCCTTTCTTGTACAATCTGCAAAAGCAATTCTTTAAATACACTACTCACAATAAGTTAGGGATATTGTTATTTACATGAGTGCTTTTCCTATTTGCTCTGATTTTTAATGAAATAAGTAAAAGTTCCCTTTGATATTACTAATAATGTATGAGAAGAAACACCATTTTCATTAGTTTAATATTTATTACCCCAAAAATTTAGACAATAACAGGGATAGCCCCAAATAACAAAAACTGACAATGTCAGTAGCGGGTGTTTCCACCATTTGCCGCAATGACAGCTTGACAGCGACGTCTCATGCTCCTCACTAGCCTCATGATGTTGTTCTGTGGCAATGTGTTCCACTCTTCCACAAGTGCTACACACAGTTCTGCCAGGTCACGTGGGGGTGGGGTACGATCTTCCAGTCTCTGCTTCAACTGGTCCCCGACGTGCTCTATGGGGTTCAGGTCAGGGGACATTGATGGCCATACCATATGAGGCACTCCAACCTCCTGAAGTCGAGCTTTGACAATTCTGCCACGATGTGGTGGAGCATTATCATCCATGAACTGAAAGTTCGGGGTGTGCTGGCGGAATTGGGGGATGGTGATGGGTTCTTTGAAGTCTCTGAGGCAAGAACGTGCAGTGACTGAGCCATGTACAATAACCAAATCTGTTTTGCGCTGACTGGTGATGCCTGCCCAGACTGTTGCACCTCCTCCACCAAAGCAAACCCTGGGGACCATGTTGACCTCAGCGTATCGCTCACCTCGCCTTCTCCAGCAACGCTGACGACAATCATTTCTGTGCAAGGTGACCCGACACTCATCAGTGAACAGGACGGTAGACCACTGCTGCATTGTCCAGGTCACATGGTCTTGTGCCCACTGCAAACGTTCACGGTGGTGTCTTGGTGTCAGTGGAGTCACCTGCAACCGTCGTCTGTCATTCAAGCCAAAGCGGTGGAGTCAGTTGCGAATGGTTTGTCTGGAAACCCTAGTACCCCTCGCATCTCGTAAACGGGCCTGCAGCTGTGTGGCAGTTGCATAACGATGTCTGAGTGAATAGGTCCTTAGGTACTGGTCATAGTCGCGGTGTGTCACTCGTGGGGCTCCACTCCTGGGTCTGTCATGAACTCTGCCAGTAGTTCTGTGTCTTGATGCAAGTCTGCTGATGACACTTTGAGACACACCAAGTTCACGAGCAACATCTGACTGCCTGCCCCCGACCCGAAGGCGCGCCATGGCCAGGTGGTGCTGCTCGTCCGTTCAGTGACGTCGTGTGTTCATGGCTGTTTGAATGATGAACTTGGAATGACTTACTGACAATACCAGCTTTTATACCCACAGAAAGTTGAAATTGATGCCACATTGAAAAGGGTTGTCTTTTGGTATTGGCCCCAATTTAAGGCACACCTGTACACAATGAGACCATTACATGGAAAACACAAAATGAGGTGCGTCTATCACCCCAATACAATTGCCTCTCTATCACAAAAATGTCTGAAGTGAGACAAACACCGTATGTACTGTATGACATCCACTAAGTCTCTCCCAATATCCCTAACTTATTGTGAGTAGTGTATTCAGTAAAAGTTGTAGATGATCTGCTAAGTGTTTTGCTTTTTCCTATTTGCTTTGGCTAAATGAAAATGTTAAGATCAGACAAATAATGTTGCAGGCTTGAACGTAGAATGCAGTAATGCTGTAATGCCAAATGAAGATGTTCTTGTGTCTTAAAACCAATAGATTAACATTTTATCTACCCCCTGGGATTTCTCTGTTGTCAGTGTTGCTTGGCAGACCTATGACTAGTCACCCGCTATGAAACAGACACAAAAATTCCTACATAGGAATGGCCATGATTTTTTTTTTCAGTGAGGTCAGGGGAGCCATGGACATTATAATAAGCAATTTACAAGTCCACCACTATTGGAATGATATAGATACTGCTTTGGTCTATACCCAGTCTGAATGATTATTTACAAATTGCTGGTAGTCTGTCCAAAAAGAGAGAAAATTCAGTGAAAGCAGTTAAAGGAAAAAACACCAAGGAATTACTAGCCCTTCTGGTTCTTTAAAAGCACACAATTAATTAATCGTTCACTTTCAAACAGGCTGTACTACTAAGACTGATAACAACAATTACCTCCTTTGCAAACACGTGCAGATATAGTTCTGTTTGATATGGCCTGTCCATTTCAGTACTCGCCTCTGTCAGATTTCATTGACCTCAAAAAACCAACATAAAGCAGATGCTCCGTCATCCGTCATGGCTTTGGTGCATGATGTGACCATTGGCCATCTTTGTGTTTTGATTTTCTGTCCTGACGTTTCATCTCTTTACGCTTCTGCTACAGTATCTGTGAGGAATAATGGGCTATTCAGAGATATGTTTTGCTGTGTTTGTTTTTTTCTTTTTGATTATTTAGAACAGTAAGTTATGTTTCGTGCTCTTTATACAAACAAAACATCAATCAATGCCTATAATCATATGCCAATTTATTGGTAAAACCTTTTAAAAATATAAACAATGTGGGTATTAACACCCTTGCTTCTCTGTCTTCATTTCCTACTCCTGTGTTCAGAGTGGATCTTGGCCTGTTTTGTATTCCACAGTCATGCACATTTGCAGGTTTGGAGAGAATGTGATGTTTAATTTGGGTTTTGTTACCCAAGTGTCCAACACTGGAACCATCTACCTGAAACTGGCTTCATTAAACCCCATCTGCCTGGTACCATCACTGCACCTGAGGAGATACTTTAGCTGGAGGGTAAGAGAAGTAAGAAATAAAATGAATGCAAAATTGCCATAGTTGTTGCTTACCTAAGCAAATCAAACATCAGCAAAGAAATTAATTTCCCTGGAGTCCTGCTGGTCCTAGATTTTTCAACTGAATGCAATGGACCTCTCCAAAGGCCACCATGTACTCTTTGAATCACTGGATCCTTTTTTCATATTTAATCTTCTTTTTTGGTGCAGTTTTCTTCACCATTTCTGTTATTTTATTTGCTTTCCCCTTCATTGCATTTCCTTGTTTGCTAAAGGGTCTCTGACCCAGTTCTCTGTTCTAAAACTGAATCCACTAAACAATTCTGAATGTGGTTTCATTGCCCATGAGAAGATCCCATACCATCCATCTAGCCCAGTGATTCCCAAACTTTCTCTGCAGGGCCACCCTTTTCTAGATAGGAACATTATTGAGCCCCCCCCCATTCAAACTACACAGGTTCAGATTCAAACTTTATTTGAAATACAACTCCCTTTTCTAATTGAGTGAAACAAATGCAATTACAAAATACAAATGGTGCAATTTCACCACTGTGTGAGAAAAAAGAGCAATCAATTAAAAATAAAAGTCCAGCATAAGTTTGAAATTATGCAAATACAGATTTAACATTCCTGTTAATATTCATTGGCGTACACAAATTAAAATTTGTCTTACGATTACTGCATTTTGTTTTTAATGATAACCGCAGGTTTCAGTCTATATTATAGCACAAAATAACACTAAATCATACCCATTAATTGATAGTCTCCCTGCACTTCATGTAGAAAATTTTAAACCT